TCCTCCTCCTCCTCCTCCTCGTCCTGCCCCGCCGGCAGCGGGCCGTGCTCCGCCGTGCCCCGGGGGCTGGGGCCGGGAACCCGCCGGGGGACGCGCTCGCTGCCCCGCAGCCGGGCCCGTCCCCGGTGCCCCCGGGAGCACCTTCCCCCGCCGCGTTCCGCGCTCCGGCGGCGCGGTCGCGTCTCCGCGGGGTTTTTGGGGTGAGCGGCTCCAGCCCGGCCTCTCCCCGCGGTTCCCCAAATCCCCCGCCCCGCGGATTCCCGGCCGCGGCGTGCCGCCGGTTCGGGAAGGGGATGGGCTGCCTCCGCGTCCCCCGCGGCTCCGGGAAGTGGTTCCCCCGGACCTGCCGGCTCCGGCACAGAGCTGGGTCTGGGCGCTCGGCAGGCAGGGTTCTCTGTTCCAGGGTGGGTTTGGGCGGTGTGAAGGTGCCACCAGAGGCTCGTCTCGATCGGGACAAGGAGAGTTGATCTTGGAGCCTCTTCCTGGGCTTAATCCAGTTATCACCTTCCTTCCCTCGGGCCCAGGCGCTGCTCTAGCAGACGTTTATTCCCGTTGGTTCCCGGGGCCATGGGCCCCGGCTGGAGATGGAGAGGGGGGTGATTAGGGGGGTCTGAGGGGGGACCCTGAACTCCCCCTGTGAGGGGCCTGTTTGGGGACACTCCCACCTGCGGCTGTGCCCGGTGTGTCCTGGCACAGTGACAGGAGCCTGGGTCTGTATTTGCTCACTGTGGGGCCCGGTGGGACACGGCCCCGATGGACGAGCCCCGTTTCCTCCTGCCTTGCCCATCAAACGGGGCTAATCCCGCGTAAAGCAGCGGGATGGGCCGGAAAAGGAGGACGGGAGCGGTGTAAGCCCCGGGCAGGAGATAAGCACAGAGTGATTCCAGCCTTCTGGCTGTCTGCGGTGGAATATTGGTCCATTTTCCGCGTTCATCCTCCTCAACACCCCTGTACATCCACCTGGGTGGGAGGGAGGCGGCCGTGCAGGATGCAGCAGTTCCACCAGCAGCCCCGGCGTCCAAACGCGTGCTGCTGTGCGTCCTCCTTTGGAACTGAAAGCAGGAAAGCGTCCCCCAAAACGGGGCAGGGGCTCCTGCTCGCACACAGGGCGGGGGCCAGAGGGGAATCTCGTGCTGGGGGGCTGCGGTGGGGCAGGTTCGGGAACGTTTCCGCTCTCTCTGATGGATTTTGGGAGTCTTAAACGTCAAGCGGTAGGTGAGAGCTGGTCGTGCGAGGACAGGGGGAGCAGAAGGAGCTGCAGAGGGAGGAGGGAATCTCCTGGTGCCGGGGCTGAGCACGCGGCGATCTCTGGAACGGCTCCGCGGAACTCCCCGGGCGCAGCCGATCAAAACAGAAGTGGGAACAGGTAAAGCACATCCCGTCTCCCGGCGCAGCCCTGGATCTGCCCTGTCTGGGAGTTGCCTCACGTGGAAGGAATTGTTTGTGTGTTTGCCCTGCGCCATGGGAACTCGGCCGGATCGGGGCAGGTCGGGAGCTGCGGATCCCAGCGGGTGACGCAGGTTTGGGAGCCGGGAACCGAGAGGGAACTCTCCCCTCCCATCCTGGGCGATGGTGTGGGAGCCATGTGGTTAATTCCCGGGTGTATTTCCTCCTTCCCAGGCAGGAGCAGAGCGAGGAGCCGCAGGGACACGAGGGAGGGAAGGCTGGGAGCTGGGCACACGGGTTCCCTCACCCCTTGTGTCCTGTCTCAGGTCTCAGAAGCCATGGAGCACCACGGCTGCGTCGGGAAAGGCTGGAGGGGGACTGCAGCAGATGAGCAGAATGGGGTGGGAAGCGTGGAAGGAACAAGGGCTGGAGGAAGAGGAGGAAATCAGGGAGACTTTGCAGGGCCTTGGCCCAAGAAAAGGAGAGGCAGGCCCAGAGAAGTGGAAGGTGGCAGCAGTCGCAGTTGCACGTGTCCCGAGGGAGGGAACTGGGAATTAAAGGAAATCCCCAGAAAGGGAGATGAGGGAAACAGGAGCAGCTCCCCGGTGTGAGTGCAGGGAAACCCTGGAGATGAGCGCTCCAGAGGTGGCTGAGCAGAGCAGGACTGGGAAAATGCTCTGAAAGGGGAGTGCTAGGATGGGAAAAATAGGTGGAATTTCTGTGGGAGAGGGAAAGGGGAGTGAGCAGTGACAGAGGCACTGGGGGAGGAAGGAGCAGGGCAGGTCCGGAGGAGCAGGAGAGGAGGAGTTGCTGGGCTGGAAGTGGCAGAGGGAAAGGAATGGGAGGCAAGAGCAGAGCCTGTATATGTCACGTGGAAGTGAGATGAGCTGGGGACTCTTTGGAGCAGGGAATTTTGTGAGGGCCCTTTGTGGATGGGGACAATGTGGCCAGAGAGACAAAGGGCTTGGGGAGAAGGTGCAGGGAAAGGAGGGGTCGGTAGGCCATAGGTGGGCAGGTTGCAGGGCTGGGAAGGGGGGTGGCTGGGGAGGAACATGTGTGTTTGGGAGAGAATCAGTGGGAACGTGGCCTGGATTGGTGTCATCTGTGGGAATTCGGGGTGGATTTTCCTTGAGTTTCTCCTGGGCACCCTGGGGACTGCAGAGCAGAGATTCAGGCAGGCTGGGCTGGGCTGGGCTTCTACCCTGGCCTCTGTGGCAGGGCTGGGGGGCTCTGAGGGGGTCTTGCCATGCCGTGGGGATCAGGGAGACATTCCCAGAGCTGTGTCGTGGCTCCGGGAGTCGGGATGGGCTCGGCAGCCTCCTGGTGAGTTGTGAAGTTATTCCAGGCACGAAACAGGGATGCATTTGCATCAGATCTCGCTTGGGTGTCACTAATGACAGCACTTGGGACTTTCCCCCCAGCTCAGGTGGCCTGTCCCACGGGTACCTGGTTCCACGGGGAGCTGGCTCCGGCACCTCTGCAGGGATCACCCCCACGTGAAGCACTGGAGCACCTGGATCTTGGGGTGGAAGGGCCGAGGCAGAGCAGGGCCGCCGGGGGAGGGTGGAGATCTCCGGAGGGAGGAATATCAGGGAACACCCCCTTCTGCTTGGCTGGGTCTGTTTGAGCCCGAGGTGTGGCTGTGCCTCCACGGCGGAGCGTTCAAAGGGCTGGGAGCAGATTGCTCCTGCTAAAGCAATCAGCCGGGCTGTCGGCCCTGAACTTGCAACAGCCCAGCCCTGGAATTGCTGATAGCCCATCCTGGAATTGCTGTCGGCCCCTGTCGCAGGGCTGAGCTCTGTGGGGTGCTGGGCTGTTCCCCAAACCCTGTGTAGGAGCTGGTGCTTTTCCCCAAAGCCCGGTGGGCGCAGAGCGGGGCTGGAAAGCTGCAGCTCTCCAGGGAGCTCTGTCCCTGCCACGGGAAACAGCTTTCCCTGGTGTTACTGGAGCTGCTGCCAGGTGAAACCAGCACATTCCCGGCTGGTCGGAGCATCGTCCCTGCATTTCCTCCCCGTCCCAAGGGCAGTGAAACCTTGGGGTGGGAAGTTGAGCTCGGGTCCTGCGGAGGACGGGCCGTGAGTCAGCCGGGGTGGCTGGGACTGGACCCAGCTCACTGTAACACATCCTTGTCATTAAACGTGCCTTTTTGATGTTGGGCCGCAGCTCTCCCGGCCTCCAGCCACGTTTGGTCAGCACCAGAGAGTTCCCTGTGTCCACCCCGAAGGAAAAGCTTGGGGAGGTGGAGGAAGGCAGGGAGACGCTGGGCTCTGTTCAGACCTGGGCAGAGGCAGTGAGGGGAGGGTGGGTGACAAGCAGGAACTGGTGGGATGTGATTGATGTGGGGTGGGCTCGTGGCTGTTTGGGGTTTTGGGGGCAGGTTGGGACCTCCTGCTCCCGTTTCCAGAACGGTTTGGTTTTCCTGTTGTCCGTGGCACTCCCTCCTGCGTCCTTGTCATCAGCCAAGGGTGGCATGTTCCCAAGGGCACCCTCAGGCACTTGGGGCTGCCCAGTGAAAAGCCAGCTGTCCTTCATAGAACCATGGCATCCCAGGATGGTTTGGGTTGGAAGGGTGTCCAGTTTCACCCCCTTGCTTCCTAGTGGACACCTTCCTCTATCCCAGGTTACTCCAAGCCCCATCCAGCCTGGCCTTAGACACTTGCAGGGATGGGGCAGCCACAGCTTCCCTGGGCAACCTGTGCCAGGGCCTCAGCACCCTCACAGGGAAGAATTTCCTCCCAGTATCCCACCTAACCCTGCCCTCTGGCAGTTCAGATCCATTCCCCCCTGTCCTGACACTACAGTTCTTGATGAATCCAGAGCTGCCAAAGCCGTGTCCGGTTGGGAGAATGGTGTTTTCCACGGGCCTCTCCCGTCTCCTACCCTCCAGGGAAGGAGATGAGACTCCTGAATGTCTTTTCCTCTTGTGATCTCCACCCCTGTGTTAAGTCCTGGAGCTTCTGCTCAGCCTCTGCACCTCAGGGAGCTGGCGCTCGCTGGCGCTGGGATTTGAGCGGGAGCTGCAGGAAGGAATTTGTGGGGTCCCTCCACTCCTTCGGGGCTCAGGGTGGTTTCTTGGGGGGGTCACAGAAGGGGTAGGGACTGGGGAGCTCGCTGGCCTCTCCCTGGGTGTTCACCCATGGCTCTGTCCCTTCTCTTGCCGTAGTAATTCCTGCTGTTATTTTTTTTCCAGGTGAGCTGTGGCGTGCCAGACCTCAAGTTTTAATGTTTTTTATGTAGCTTTTTTTTTTCTTTTTTTTAAAAAAAAAATACGAATGGATGAATGAAGAAGGATTTTATTGAAGGAAGGGGAGGAAAAAATGAAGTGGTTTGGAACAAACTGAGATCTTCCCCCGCACCTCCCGGGCCATGGGTGAGACAGACCTGCTGAGCACCACTGCCACCCTTGGGTGTCTGCTGGGGTTGTAAAGGAGCTCCCTGAACGCCCCCTTCCAGGTCCCCCCCAGTTCACCTGCTGGGAAATGGTCGCTGCCGAGAGGATTTAATGCCATTCCTGTCGGTTCCCAGCCGCCGAGTGGGTACCGAGCCCGTGGAAGGGCCTGGGGCTTCAGGAGAAAGGAGCAAGTAGGAAAACCCACAGTGTGCCAGACCTTCCCCTCCGCCCCCCTCGAAAGAAAGGATTTACAGCTCAACCTTGCACCAGCTGTTCCTCGGCTTTAACAGACAAGAGAGAAATAAATAAAATTAAACGGCCACCGCCAGCCAGCCCCGGATCCCGGCGAAATCAGGGAGAGTGTTTCCGTGACCCCTCCAGCGAGGGGAGGAGGAGGAGGAGGAGGAGGAGGCACGGCAGCCGCGAGGAAGCCGGGGCAGATTGCTTGGAGACCACCCCCTCCTCCCGTGCAGCCCCGGCACCGCGGAGGAGGCGGATTAAAAAGGAGAAGTGGCTTCCCTGAGGCTCCCGGAGTGGCTTTTTCGCAAGGAGTTTGCTGATCCCGTGCTCCTCCCGGGGTGCTGGCCGGGTGGGAAGCGCCGAGCGAGCCTGGGGAATTCCCTCCCCTGGGAACCTTGGCTGCCTGTTTCCTGACGGAGAGCGAGGCTCGCGAGGGGCTCCCGGCATTCCCGCTCCGACGGCTGTTTGAAACTCAAATCCCCTGCCCTGCTCTGAATTTTTGATGGTTTTAAACCTCCTCCCCTGCGCCCGAGAGCTCTCGCAGGGCAGGGCGTAGGGTGGGCTCCTCTCCTGGGCCACCAGCTCCAGAGGCTTGTCCGGATTATCCGTCCAGGTCGGAGCTTGGCCTGGGAGCGGGCGCGGAGGCCGGGAAGGGGTCGGCCCTTGTCCCCCTCCCCTTCTTGTCCTGCTCTGACTCCCTCGGGGCCTGGGCTATGCTGCGGGGCGGACCCCCCACCACAGCTCCAACATGCCAGCAGCCTCTGGAAAGAGATTCAAACCCAGCAAGTACGTCCCGGTCTCCGCTGCTGCCATCTTCCTAGTGGGAGCCACCACCCTCTTCTTTGCCTTCACGTGAGTCCCGGTGGCTCGGCCAGGGCGGGGAGGGCTGGAGGGGGCGACAGGGGACGTGGGGAAATAGGGAGAGGGGTTGGGACTTCCTCCCGGAGAGAAGGGGGGGATGTTGTGCTCCGGGTGGTGGAGTGGCCTGGTGGCCCTTGGAGCAGCAGGACCCGTGTCAGTCAGTTTTCCCCAGCTAGGGGTCCTGGTGAGGCACCCTGTCACCACTCAGCTCCAGATCAGAGGGGCTGGAGGCTGGTTTGTGACCTGTGGGTGGAAACCACACGGCTCACTTTCCCTTTTGTGGCCAGGCAGGGTGGATTGGTTGGGCCGGGGCAGGATCCGTGTTATTTTTGGAGCTTTGTAATCGATTTGTGAGCCGCAAAGGAGAGTTCAGGGAGGAGAACTCTGCCCTCTGCACGGATCACTGGCTGTCGGTGTCAGCCCTGCCCTGGGCAAACAAGGGTTCACTGTCCCTGGAGAGGGCCCGAGGGGGTGGCCAACAGGTCACCAGGGCCGTGGGGGTCCGCCAGGGTGGGAGATTGTCCTGGCTGCTGGGGAGGAGTGGGGATGTCCCTGGACTGCTCTCTCCTGTAGGACCTCCCTGCCCCGTGCCACGTGCCTTAGTGACAGGGCCTGGGGGTGTTGAGGAGGGGGCCAGGCTGCTGTGCCAGCTCTGAGCCTGGGAGGGAGCAGCAGCAGCCAAGGCAGGATGTGCCGGGCAGGAATGGTGTGCCAGGCAGGAATGGTGTGCCAGGCAGGAAAGCTGGAGCGTGGCAGCAGCACCAGCTACCAAATCCTGTCCCTGGGGTGGGATCTGAGTGGGGATGTGTTTGGGGTCCTGGCTGGTGGGAAGGGGGTGCACCGTCTGCTCCGGGAAGCCTCTCCTGCTCCCTGGGGTTTTCCTGCTGGGGGTCAGCTGGAGCTGCAGGAGGCTGAAGGGCTGGGTGTGGTGGCTCCTGCCACTCCCCGTGATGGTGGTGGGAAGGTCACTGTGGCTTTGGCACCTGGGAGCCACCAGGCAGTGACAGGGAAACTTGACAACTGAAGGGGAGAGTGGGTTTGGTTCGCCCTGTCCGGCTCGGGTGCAGCTGGTGGTGTCACTCAGCACGTGTGGCCGTCCCCTGCTGGGACACCGAGCGGTCACCCAGCTCCCAGGCTCCAGGTTTGGCTGCTCCAGGCTGCCAGACGCCTGTGGAAGTCGCTGACCGTGCTCCAGCTCCAGAGGGATGCAGGAGAAGCGGGGGGAGCGGGCGCTGCCCTCTGCACTGTGCGTGACACCCCGTGCGTGACCTGGGAGGGACAGGCTGCCTCTGCAGCCGTGCTTTGGGGGGCCCTCCAGGCAGCTGGACCCCCAAGCCCATCCCGGCCCGGGGCTGTGGCAGCGCCGGGAGCAGCCTCTTATCAGCAAGGGGTGAGAGGCAGCGCCGGAGCCGGCGCCGCGGAGCAGGTTTGGCCAGGGCAGCAACAGCTGGGCAGGTCGCTGTAATTACAGGTCAGCGGTGTTGTTTAACCTACTTGAGAACAGCCCGTGAAACCCCGGGCACGGCGCTCACACGGGGCTCAGCCGGGGGGCAGCTGCCCTGCTGTTCCCTGGGAACAGCCTGGTGCTGGAGCGGGGTGGCAGGGACACTGTGCCTGGGGTTTACCTCCTCTGAGGGCCAGGGTGAGCCTTGCCCGCCTGGACCAGGAGAGCTGGAGCAGCTGCCAGCTGCCCTGCTCGCTGTTGGCATCCCACCTCAGGCTCATCCTTTGGGAAGCACGGTGGAAGCTGGGGAGGGGTGCTCTGGGAGGCCTCCCCCAGGCAGGGAGCAGCCAGGGCTCTGCCCAGCTCTCCAGGCTCCGGCTGTGTTACTTCCAGCATATCCACTGGACGCCTTTTGGTCCTTCCAGGATTCGTATCTCTGGGCCAAGAACTCTCTTTAATTGATTAATTTAATGAGGAGCTGCTGCCGAGCACGTGGCTGTGGAAATGAGCCGAGGCCGGCTGGGCTGGAGGGGGGGGGCAGTGGGAGAGGGGATGTTCCTGCCTTTCTCTGGGAGGAGCAAGGGTCCCAGGCTTGCTGGGCTCTCAGAGAGGTGCTGATTTAGGATGGAAGCTCCCTCGTGGGGTCCATTTGTCCATTCCTTCATCTCCCTGCTGGCCAGTCCCAGCTCCTGGTGTGGTTGGTTATCAGGCTCCCTGTCCCTTCTGGAGCCAGGACATGGACTGGTGCCATTGGGAAATGGTGCTGTGCCCGCTCCCAGTGGGACCTAAACTTGTAGGAGGGTCAGGGCATGCAGGGATCGACTGTGTTGGTGCCAGGGCCTTGGAGAGCCAGAGGGAAGAGAGGCATCCTGGGGACGGCTCTGCTCCAGGAGAGAGCAGGGGATGAGGGGCTGTGGAGGGGACGGGGAGCCAGCAGGGAGGGACGGGCTTCTCCGGGCATGACTGGTGGCAAAAAGCCTGTCTTGCATCCAGGTGTGACTCAGGGTGCCTGAGGTTCCCAGAGTTCTCTCATGTGCTGCCAGGGACAAGTCCCGACAGCTCCTCTGGCGATGGGCGTGTTGCATCCCGGTCCAATCCCGAGGGGGAACCCGATGGGTGCTGCGGGACCTGCGTGGCCGTGATGGCGAGGAGCCTCCCTCCTCCTCCTCCTCATCTTCCTTTTCCTCCTCCTGCTCCTGAGGAGCTGGCGCCCGCTCTCCCCGGGGCCGTCCCTGGGGTCGGGGCAGGGCCTGCAGCCCCACGCTCTCTGTCCGGGAGAGCAAAAGGCAGGAGCACCTCGTGCTCCCAATAAGGAGGTTCCCTCAGGGATGGGCAGCACCTTTGCTCCCTGTGGAGGACCCTGCTCCCTCCTGTGGGTGCAGTTGGTCCCGGGAGGTGACTCCCTGGCTTTGTGGCCCCTGGCTCCGTGGGGATTCCTGTCTCCCACGGGGGTGCCTGGGTGTGGGAGAGCCGGGAGGGCAGCGGGCTGCTGGGGAGGAGACCCCGGCGTTGTGCTCATGACCAGGAATGCTCCACCCCAGTTCTTCCCTCTCTGCCTGCCCCAGAGCTTTCCAAGGCAGCTGAATCTTTCCCTGTCTCTCGAGGATCCAGGCCATGTGCTTGGCTTGGCCTGGCTGTTGGCTGTTCCCTGTGCAGGAGGGTTGCCCAGCCACGGGCCTTCCTGGCTCCCCTCCATCTCTTTCCAGCAAAGGTTTGGGCTGGGATTTCCCTTCCTGGAGAGAGGAGCTCCTTCCACAGGGTTCCTGGAAGGGCATTTGCTACTTTTAGGGCTCCTCTGAGCCTCCTGCCCCTCTCCCTCTGGCAGAGAGCAGAGCTGGGGAGCTCAGCTCAGGGATGTGGGGTCCTTGGCTCTGGTGTGTTCTTCTCACTCTCCACAACTCCCTGAGAGGAGGCTGGAGCCAGGTGGGGGTCGGTGTCTTCTCTCAAGGAAGAAGCGATGGGACAAGATTGCTTCAGATTGCAATTGAGGTTGGATATTAGGGAAAATTTCCTCATGGAAAGGGTTGTCCAGTCCTGGAACAGGCTGTACAGGGCAGCAGTGGAGTCACCAGCCCACTGGTGGTGTTCAAAAAACACCAGCATGGATGTGGCACTCAGGGACATGGTTCAGTGGTGGCCTTGGCAGTGCTGGGGGAACAGTTGGACTCTGTGATCTTGGAGGGCTTTTCCAACCTGAACACTTCAGTGGTTCCATGATTCTGTGATTCTTCCCTCGATTGGGCTGTGGCCCATGTTGCTGTCACGTAGGTCCCGTGCCTCCAGCACTGCTCTCCCAGGGTTTCGGAGCACAGATCGGAGAGGGCTCCTCCTCTCCAGCCTGTCCCAGCTGTGGAGAATCCTCCTGGCCGGCTTCCAGAGGAGGCAGCAGGGCTGGCAGGGCCAGTGCCAGGCTTGGAGCCACTCCCCAGCCCGGAGCAGAGCTTGGGGTGACACGCCAGGAGATGCTGTCCCGATACAGAGCAGGGAGGCAGCGCCCGGCGTGCCTGGGAGGGCGGCTCCTGAGGAAGGGGCTCTGGTGGGAAGATGGTTTGCAGGAGCAGCCTGGTCCTGTGTGTGGGGCCTGGAGGTGTCCCCGAGGAAGATGAGGAGGAGGAGGAGGAGGAGTGTGCGGGTGGCAGAGCAGGGCTCGGCCCCGCTGCGCTGCTCTCAGCACTCTCCCGAAGCCGAGGGTCTGCCCTTCCCGTTCTCCTGCTGCCCTCATTGCTGCACCTGGATGGGGACAGCCTTGGCCTTGGCTTGTGAGAGCAGGTCCCACTGACGATTCCCACCCTCCCCGGGGCACAGAGCCGTGCCTGGTGCTGGGAGCGCCCTGCCCGCCTCGCCCTCTGCGCTGCCAGGTGTGTGCCAGGCAGGTGTGAGCCAGGCAGGTGTGAGCCAGGGAGGTGTGTGCCAGGCAGGTGTGTGCCAGGCAGGTGTGCCCACTCCCCCACCCCCTGCCACATCTGCCCTCCCCAGGGCAGCCCTGCACTGGGGGCAGAGCCCTACTCCAGGGGTTCGTTCCCAGCTGGAGCCTTGCCGGGGCTCCCAGGGCTGCAGTGACAAGGACAGGGGCTGCCTGGCCGGCAGTGGGACCCGTCCCCGCGGGTGATGGTGGAGGAGGGGACGGGCCCAGTGCCTGCCCCTTGACCCCAACCTGCAGGGGATTACGGCGCTGGCACCATATGTCGCCCTGCCCGCCCAGCCCCGCGCTGCTCCGGCCACCCAAATCCATCGGCGCTCGGCGCGGCGGGGGGAAGAGAGGGACAGATGCTGCCCTAGATCTGCGGGATTAAATCCCAGCAGCAAAGCAGATTAGGGAATTACGCTGGCGCCTCCGAGGGGGAAGCCCGCTGTCCTGAGCGTGCTGCCTGCTGGGGCAGGAGGGAGCAGGGTGATTCCCTCCTGGAGGAGCTGGGCGCTGGTTGGGGTCCCAGTGTCCCACCAGAGCTGTCTCTGGGATGTGAGGAGCAGGGAGCAGCTCTGGAGGCGCTGGAGCTGGCGCTGGTTTCGTGCCCTCTCGCAGGTCCCCTCTGCGCCCCGTGCAGCCGGTGGGGCACAGGGAGGGCGAAGCACAGGCATTTTCTGGTGGGTCCCCCTGGGTGCCCCCCCGTGCCAACAGCCTGGCTCTCCCTGTTCCCACCACGGCTGCTCTGTGTGTCAGTGGGATCCCAAGGGGTTGTGGGCACAAGGGGTGAGCGAGGGTCTCGATCCCTGATGGATGATGCCTGGAGCCGTCCCACCGTGCCCTCAGGGTGCTTCCTGGGCTGCAGAAGTGGCCCAGGCACAGCTCTGGTTTGGGTGTGGGGGGCACTGGGTGGAGCTGTAGGGACAGTGGAGGGGTCCAAGGGGTCTCACTGCTGCTGTGCCTGCAGGTGCCCGGGGCTCAGTCTCTACGTCTCCCCCATCATCCCCGCCTACAATGCCGTCGTCTTCCTCTTCGTGCTCGCCAACTTCAGCATGGCCACCTTCATGGACCCGGGCATATTCCCACGAGGTGAGTCCGGCTCCGACCAGCGAGGGTCTTGGGTAGAGCTGCCTCCTTTCACCCTTCCTCTGAGGTAGAAGGCGTTTCTGGGTCCCAAAAGGCTGGTGGAGAGCTCTCCTCACCCTGCCCGGTGGGATCGGGCGGTGACATGGACGCCAGCTCTGGGTTCAGCACCCCGTGTCGGGCCCCTGGGGCTTGGGTGGTGTCGGGATTCTGGGGCAAGGCTGGGGAGAGGCCCCCAGGCTGTGTTTGGGGGTCCCTTTGCCGGGTGCCAGCCGGGCAACGCCGGGTGCCTCCGGCTCGGGCAGGCAGGGGCTGGCCGGGCCCTGACGCGTGGCCGTGCCGGGGTGTCCCCACCAGCTGAGGAGGACGAGGACAAGGAGGACGATTTCCGGGCCCCTCTCTACAAGACGGTGGAGATCAAGGGCATCCAGGTGCGCATGAAGTGGTGCGCGACCTGCCGCTTCTACCGCCCGCCGCGCTGCTCCCACTGCAGCGTCTGCGACAACTGCGTGGAGGTGAGGAGCTCCCGGGGCCTCTGCCGTGCCCGGGGCAGGGCAGGGAGCCCCGGCAGCACCCCCTCACCGAGCCCCCCCCACCCCCCCCCCCGGCAGGAGTTCGACCACCACTGCCCCTGGGTCAACAACTGCATCGGGCGGCGCAACTACCGCTACTTCTTCCTCTTCCTGCTGTCGCTCACCACGCACATCATGGGGGTCTTTGGCTTCGGGCTGCTCTACGTGCTCTACCAGGTGGAGGAGCTCTCCGGCGTCCGCATGGCCGTCACGTATCCTCCCCACGGGCCGTGGGGGGCGGGCGGGGGGCGGTGGGGGGCGGTGGGTTGGTGTGGTGCCGAGCGGGACTGCGGCTCCTCCTTAGCTGGCTGCGGCAGGATGGTGGTGATGTGCGTGGCCGGGCTGTTCTTCATTCCCGTCGCTGGCCTGACGGGGTTCCACGTGGTGCTCGTGGCCAGGGGCCGCACTACCAACGAACAGGTAGGCCCGTGGGGCTACGGTGAGGCCACCTACGAACACGTTTTGGGGCTCCCCGGAGCAGGGTGGGTGTGGATGGGCTGGATTGAGGCAGGGGGAGGCCCCTGAGCTGGAGGGGCAGAGCACAGGTTGTCTGAGGGGCAGCCTGGTGTTGGGGGTGCTGCCAGAAGATGGAGCCGGGCGGGCACTTCTGGGGGGCGGGAGGCGAAATCAGGGAGACCTTTCCATCTCCAGGGTATAGTTGAACACTTAAACAGGGACCAGGATAAGGGAGAGGATCTCTGAGTATCTCTGTCCTTGGAGATTGTCCTGAGGCTGCTGGACAAACCCTGGCATGGCTGGCTGGGCCGAGCCCCCCACGGTCCCTGCCTGCCCCGAGGCCGTGACACTCCTTTACCCCGCAGGTAACGGGCAAGTTCCGTGGGGGTGTCAACCCCTTCACCAACGGCTGCTGTAAGAACGTCAGCCGGGTCCTCTGCAGCTCCCCAGCCCCCAGGTGAGCCCAGGCAGTGCAGGTACCCCTGGCCCCCATCACACCCGGCCCTGGCGTCCACAGGGAAACCACCAGGCCGTGACCTTCCTCCCGCCCCCTCCCCAGGTACCTCGGGCGCCCGAAGGCCGAGCAGACGGTGCTGGTGAGACCCCCCTTCCTGCGGCCCGAGGTGTCGGATGGTCAGATCACCGTCAAGATCATGGACAACGGTATCCAGACAGAGCTGAAGAGGACGAAGGTGAGGAAGGTGGGGACCAGCGCTGCCCGCGCTGGGGCCCTCCACGGAGCCCAGGGGTGCGAGCCTGCATCCGTGAGTAGAGAACCGAGTGAGCCTGGTCACGTCCCTTGTCCCCCTCCGTGTCGTCTTGTTCTGGTGTCTCCATGAGACAGAAACCGTGTCCCTCCCATGTGGCAGCGGCCACATGAGGCTTTGCCCTTCCCGGTCCCGTCCTTCCCCGCACAGCACCCTTTGGAAGTCCCCCCTCCTTGGCACTTCCAGCCCCGAGCGCGCGGTCTGTCGGATGGCCCGGGGGGCAGCGAGAGCCCCCAGCACCACTGCCCACTCCCTGCCCGCCCGGGGGGGCTGAGCCCTCGGCCCCCTCTGACCCCCCCTGCGCTTTGTCTCTGCAGTCCAAGGGGAGCCTGGAAGTGACGGAGAGCCAGTCTGCTGACGCCGAGCCGCCACCCCCACCTAAGCCCGACCTCAGCCGCTACACGGGCCTGAGGACACACTTAACCCTGGCCACCACCGAGGGTAAGGAGGGCACCAGGGCCCCGGCAGCCGCTGGGAAGGGAGCCCAGGGCTGTGCCAGGCAGGCCAGGAGCCAGGGCCCTAGGCGGCTTTAACAGGCTGCAGGGCAGACCCGGAGCACATCGGCACCGCCGCACTTCCCCGGGCCGCTGTGTGCGGCCCCTCGTGCTTGGAGAAGCCTGCGGGACGGTCACAGCCAGGAGGCCGAGCCGGCGCGGCGCTGCCCGGAGCCTCGGGGAGCTGTGCCTTGCAGCCACCCACGCTGCCGGGACGGAGGAGGCGAAGCGGTGGCGGGCCCGGCTCGGCGGCACAGCGCGTCTCGGCCGGCTCCTGCGTGGGCTCGGCCAGAGGTGGGATGTGACGGGCAGAGCCTGTGGCAGCTGCTTCCCGCAGCAGCTGGAGACCCCACAGCTCTCCCGGCCCCGGCTGGGCTCCACCGCCCCGCCCCGCTGCCCACCGAGGGCTGCAGTGTGTGTGTCCCTGGGGGGAGCGCCCCGGCACCCCCGTGCAGTGCACCCCCCCGGGGTGTCACCCAGCCGGGGCTGCCGCAGGGGCGCGGAAGTGCCAGCCCCACACACGTGGCTGTGGGGACACCCCTTCATCCCGCTCCGTCTCTCCCGCCCCGCTGCGCCTCCCCTCCAGCCCCTCCCTCCTTCCCTCCCCGGTCTGTCCGCCCCAGGCTCGGAGCTGGTTCTTGGGTAGGGAGGGCAGGGCTGGGTGCGTTCCTTCCCCGCAGCCCTGGGGAGCCGCTGCCCCCCTGAGCGTGCCCCTCTCTGTCCCGGTGCAGACAGCAGCCTGCTAGGCAAGGACAGCCCCCCGACTCCCACCATGTACAAGTACCGGCCCGGCTACAGCAGCAGCAGCAGCTCGGCGGCCCTGCCCCACTCCACCAGCGCCAAGGTAAGGCTGGGCCCAGTGTGGAGGACCGGCCCCGAGGGGACGGTGTTCCTGGTGTGGGGAGGGTTTGGGATGGGTGTCCAGAGCTCTGCAGGGACCCTGTTATCGTTCCGTGGGTGACTGCTGTCCCTCTGCCCCTCAGCTGAGCCGAGTGAACAGCCTGAAGGAGCCCAACTCCATCTGCGAGAGCGGCCACAAGCCCAGCTACCGCTCGGAGCCGAGCCTGGAGCCCGAGAGCTTCCGCTCGCCCACCTTCGGCAAGAGCTTCCACTTCGACCCCCTGTCCAGCGGCTCCCGCTCCTCCAGCCTCAAGTCGGCGCAGGGCACGGGCTTCGAGACGGGCCACCTCCAGTCCATCCGCTCCGAGGGCACCACCTCCACCTCCTACAAGAGCCTGGTGAACCAGACGCGCAACGGCAGCCTCTCCTACGACAGCCTGCTCACGCCCTCCGACAGCCCTGACTTCGAGTCGGTGCAGGCGGGCCCGGAGCCCGACCCGCCCGTGGGCTACACCTCGCCCTTCCTGTCGGCCCGCATCGCCCAGCAGCGAGAGACCGACCTGCACGGCCGCTTCGCCGGCGCCGCCTCCCCCAAGCACGCGGCGCCCCGCGAGCCCTCGCCCGTGCGCTATGACAATCTGTCCCGCCACATCGTGGCCTCCATCCAGGAGCGGGAGAAGCTGCTGCAGCAGCCGCCGGCCCCGGGCCGGGAGGAGGACGCGGGGCTGGCGGACTCGGGCATCCAGTCGACGCCGGCCTCCAGCAACGCCCCCCGCACCAGCTCCTCCTCGGACGATTCGAAGCGCTCGCCGCTGGGCAAGAACCCGCTCACCCGCCCGGCCCTGCCCCGCTTCGGGAAGCCCGAGCCCCCCCCGGCGCTGCGGGTGCGCTCGCTGGGCTCCCCCGACCAGCCCGCCGCCCCCCACCTGGGCAAATCCGTGTCTTACAGCAGCCAAAAAACAGCCTCGCAGGCTGGCGGCCCCGAGACGGAGGAGGTGGCCTTGCAGCCCTTACTGGCACCAAAGTGAGTACGGCACAGGCACAGCAGTGCCTCTGGGGTGGGACCCTCACCCTGCAGGGAGGTGGCTGCTCAGTGCCCCCCTGCCCAGTGCCCCTCCAACCCCGCTGGGGCAGCAAAATGCAGAGAGATGCTGCAGGTTGCCTGAGGGAAGGCAAAAGAAATCCTCCTCCCAGAACTAGAGCTGGTGCCCCCCATAGCTCCTTGGTCACCCCCCCGGGAGCTGGAGTGGCCTATGAGTGCTGGGGGTCCCTGGGGAGGGCAAGGGAAGTCCTCCTCTTCCCGGAACAGAGTTGGTGCCCCCCACACCTCCACGGGCCCCTCGGGAGCTGGAGTGGGCTGGGGGTCCCTGGGGAGGGCAGGGCTGTGGCCGAGATGAGCCGTCCCCGCTCCTGACACCCCCGTGTCCGTCCTTCCTTCCCCGCAGGGACGAGGTGCAGATGAGAACAGCCTACAGCAAGTCCAACGGGCAGCCCAAGAGCCTGGGCTCAGCCCCGCCGGGCCCCGTGCCCCTCAGCAGCCCCACCCGCGGCGGCGTCAAGAAGGTGTCGGGCGTGGGGGGCACCACCTACGAGATCTCGGTATGAGGGGCAGAGCCGCTCCTCGCCCCCTCCCCTCCTCCCCGGCGGCCCCCAGGGACGCGCTGCCCGACGCTCGTGGACTCCCGGGGGGAGCCAGGCGGGGGCACGGCCCAGCTGCACCCCCTGCCCTTCCCTTCTCCACCCCCTGGGCCGCAGGGGCTGGCACACACCCTCGGGGGGATGGGGGAAGACTCTGGGGGGAAAAGGGGAGGGGGAAGCTGCAGCCCCGGCACCGCCTCGGCTGCGCCAGCCACCTGTGGGCCTTGTGCAATCACCCGCTCGCCTGGCGTGGTAGGAACGGATTGTTTTTAAACCAGAATACTTTTTTTTATTATTATTATTATTGTTACGGATTCTATTTTTTTTCTCTTTCCGAGTTACCAGGTGTGTGTATATATAAATATCTATATATATAAATATAAATATTAAAAAAAAAAAAAAAAAAAAAAAAAAAAAAAAACAAAAATTAAATAAATTAAACACCCAAAAAACTTCCTGGGGGTCTGTGCCCCCTTCCCCCCACCTTGACCCCGTCCCCAAAGGAGGGATGTAGGGCCCCCAGTGCAGGTCCTGGGCGTCGCTGTCCCACCCACAGCAGGGCCACAGGGCTCTGGGGTGCCAGGTGCCCCTCTGGGTGCCCTATCCCAAGGCCTCAGATGCTCTCCCCACCTTGGTCAGCCTCCAGCCCCCCCGGGGGCCCACAGACAAGGTAGGACGGGGGCAGCCCCCTCCCCACACCCCCAGCCCCTCCTGGACTCCAGCCTCCCCCACCCACGGTTTTTGCTCTTTCTCCGTTTCCCTGAGGGCTGTGGTCGGGCCGGGGAGGGGGGGAGTGGTGTTGCGGGTGTTGGTTTTGTTGCCTTTTTTTGTTAATGATTCCGATGGGGTTTCTCGCTGTCACAGGGGTGTTTTTATTTCCGTTTGCTCGGGGAAGAGGCAGGTCCGTGGGGCACATCCCCGGAAAGCAATATTTTTCTCATCACATGCCAAAAAAAAAAAAAAAAAAAAACAAAAAACAAACCGCAGCCAAGGAGCCCCGTGCTCCCCATCCCCTGCCCTGCCTGGGCAAAGCCGTGGCCCTGCAGGCACCACCGGACTCTTTTCTCTACGGCAACAGCTCCCGTGGCCCCGCAGAGCCACGCCAGGGTTTTTTATTATTATCAGCCATTTTAAAAACGAGGAATAAAAGGATATTTAATGAGCCACCCCGGGGCCGTGCGTGTGCTTTGTTTGGCGTCCAGGGATGGAGGAGCTCCTGTTCCTTGGGGTCTCAGCCTTCCCCATCCTGAGGGGGGGGGAGAGGGAAGGAGGCCTGGGGGATAGCCAAGCCCAGCTGCGTTTTGGGGAGGCACCTCCTGGGGCTGCTTTTGGGCAAACTGCTCCCACGGAAGGTAAGGATTTTCCAGGCATGGGGAAAACTGCTCCAGGGAAGGTGTGGCAGGTGCTGGTGAGGCTCGAGATCCAGAGGAGGGCTGTGGCAGCCTCTGTGACTGCTGCTGGAGATCCCGGTGCCCGCGGCAGCTGCCACCTCCACGCAGGGACACGGTGCCTGTCCAGGGGTCCCCCCTGTCCTCAGCAGGCCTGGGAGGTGAGGGCCAGAGCAGGACAAGGCCAAAGCCAAGGCAGGAGCCAGGCTGAGAGCCGGGGCAGGAGCTCAGGGTGGTGCTGACCGTGCACACTCCAGGGAGCCCTCGCTCAGGGCTGCTCCCCACGCCGTGATGGCCGAGGGTCGCAGCAGCCGCAGCCCCCAGAGCAGAGACTTTACTTCAGAGGTAACTAAAAAACAGGCCCCGACGCTCCGGGGTCTTTTGGTACAAAAGCCCGAGGTCAGCACCCGCAGAGTCTGTGCCTCTGGTCCCAGGGGGCTGTGGGGGTGTCCTCCCTGCCGGGGGGGGGTGGTGGACAGGCCAGCCCAGTGCCCCTGCCCAGGGTCAGCCGGGGCCGTCGGCCAGGGGGTCCCCGGGGCGGTGCTGGGGTGGTCTCACCGTAAGCTGCTGCTGGCCTGGGAGCTGCCCACGCCCGGGTGCTCCGGGCTGTGCCGGTTCTGTGGAGGAAGGACAGACAGAGCCCCTGAGAGCTGCTGGGCAGTAGCCTCCCAGGGACACACGGGCTGGGAACTGGACCCTGGCTCTCCCTACCCACCTTCTTTTTCTTCTTCTCTTTCTTCTTCCTCTTCCGCTCCGGATCCTCCTCTTTTTTCTT